CCAGTCACAGCGCCACTCGGCGAGCCTTGATATGCTACCCAATCAACTGATGCCACGTCATTAGTGAGCTGATCATTTCTGCCGGTTTTTGTGATGCAAACAGTAAAGTTCTCCGGACTGACCTTCTCTGACCATGTGACTGTTGCGTCATGGACATTAGCCGGAAGTGAGGAATTGATATAGTTGACAGTTAATTGGACATGGATGGGTTTGTCGGGATAAAATTCGTAGGGCTGGAGAGAGACAACTTCACAATGAGACTCGGCAAATGCTGAAACATGGCTGAGATGATGTGTTCCTTTTTCGAATGGAAAACCTGAAATGCAGAAAATTCATTCATGAAAAATTAATTTGAACTTTATGCAAGACTTCATCAACAATCGAGAAACTTTACTTATGTTTGTTAAGAATGTCCAATAATAACAAATTACGAAATTGCGAACCCGCGAGGTTTGTACCTTGACAGCTGCCTGGATGGTAGTACGAATAGTTTCCCTGCGTTTGACAGATTTCTCTTTCCAGAGCGCACATGTTATCGAACGTTCGACCATTRGAAGCACACACGAGATCTTGGTAAGATGGACACTGGGTAACGCACACACACTGAGCAACACCTGCTGATATGGCTTGACAAACACCAAAATATTCACAGGTCTTGTTGATGCATGGATCAAGATCTGAAATATAAATCCATGGAAATTGATGACGAAAATATAAAAAAAATAGTACAGTAAACCTATAACTGAAAAGCGCGACAAAATCAAAAGGTTGAAACACTCAAAAAACAGGAAAAGGAAAAGAAAAGAATATACCTCCAAACACCATGTAGTCCACCTCAATAGGATGATGTTTGTCGTTCAGCCCAACAAGGTCTTTAACACATGTTTTAAAGTGTGTTCGTGTAGTTTCCTGTAAGAAGCAAATCATTTGACAGTTAAAAAAACAACAACAACAACAACAACAACATAAGCTATCAGAACAATACTTCTAGCTTACCTCAACCCAGGCAGCAATGGAGTTGTCTTTTGGATGGATGGCATTGACATTACTGCTGTCATAGTGATGACTTGGTGCAACAACGATTGTCGGTGGAGCATAATACGGCTCGTGGAAACTCACAATCTGAAGACAACAAAGGTATTTGTAGACAATATCATAAGCACTAGACCTACTCACACTCAGATTTTGATGACATGCTACAACTAGTTTCTGGTTTACCTGGCAAAACGCATCATTGTCAGCCTCGCTTGGTACAAGAGTGTTTGGAAAGTCTACTCTGATAAAGTCATGATAATTCCATGTCTGGGGAACTTCAGTCATTGCCATCCAAGTCTACAACAGAAT